ATTCTTAACACTAAAACTACCGAGCAGTTAAATTGACTGACTGAAATTCCTCTACGGAAACTTGAAGAATGCATCTATCGAAACTTCGATCGATGTATAATTCAATTTACGTATTTCTAAATCAATTTCTTCAATGATTTCTCAGAGAAACGTCTGTCGAGTTGCAAACAGCAGATTTTAAACTCAGTGTTCCGATGAAAAAGCAATATGTTTCCATGTTTCTTAAAAGGTTTCACCAAACGCGTAGTAAAAGTGTTTTCAAAATAATATTTAATGTCTGCTTTGTGCTGGAATATATGGAAGCCATTCCGGAGGGGAGAACTCGAAAACCACTCTGAACCTGTAACCTTCTGCAGAAAAAAGGAGCTGTCATGTACGTTGCGAGAGAGCACGTAACAAAAGGGAATGAAAAAAGCATACAAGGAAAAACGACCATTGTTTGCACTGTGTTAACTGCATGCACGCAGTAGGCACCGTCAAAATATGCGTGCACACGCGTTATAAATGCGTGGATAAAATGAATGAAAGTGGAGAAGAGATTACTTACTGAAACTCGATAAAAGTGTCTCACCTTAGACCGTAAAATGGATGGAACACTTTTACGAAAATAATAATATTCATTTATTGAAATGTTCATTGATAGATGCCATTTTTCTTTCCTCCTTTAATTCACCGCATAATAAATAACCTAATATGTAATTTCAATATTTAATTTACTAATAATATAATATTTAGTTCAACATAAGATGAAATAATAATATTACTTGACTCAGACCTTGTGAAAATGAACAAAAATTATATAAAATTACTCATCGATAAGCTTCGTTTCCCAGATCACTCCTAATCTCGTAAATTTCTTTCCACTTGAAACTGTCTTCTATTACTTAACATTTATTTTACTTTCTTTATTCTTAAACTTTCGATCAGATCACCAAAATACTAAAATTATACTTACATACAGTACAATTATAATATTCCAAATAGTTACTACAAACGAACAAAACACCTACTGAAATAAAATTAAACAATCCCTCGACACAATGATTAAAAAATTCACCCGCCCCTTTCCCCAATGAAAACAGAAGCCAACAAGAGAGAAAACAATCTTCCGAACATCTCCGATCTCGCGCACACCTGCAAACGCTTTATCCCGATCAGCAAGCGTGCCCCGGAAGGCCGGCCAATCACGTCGCAGGTTCCTCCTGATCTCTGAAAACATCCCGGTGTCTGTGAACGAGCCATTAGCTACGGGGCCATAGCTCGTGAACCCTCGAATCCTCGTCGGAAGCGATTCGCCGGTGCGATGGAAGAGCGAATAAAACAAAATATCCCGGAACTATAAACAAGCGAAGGGGAAAAACGGAGACGCGCGTTAAACAGGAAAGAAGAGTGGCCCGCGTGACGGTTTCCTCGAGTGGCGAGCCGGCCGGGGGTGGAGAACGGGGGCGGAAAAAGAAGGATCGTGTGCTCGAAGATTCAGAGAGCGTGAACGAGAAGCTCGAAAGGG